TTTCGGGTTTGGGGTTTAGGGGTTCTGAAACCCTAAACACACAACACCTGAAAACAAAGGCAACAAGCAAACACAAAGAGCAACAGTAGATATTGTATTTTTTTGGCGAGAGGCACAAATGTAAGCACAACAGTGCCAACACAACAACAGCAACCGAAACAGACACAACAAGTATCATCCTTATTCGTGCTATTTGTAGTTTATGACTACTGCACTTTTCCGTGCATATTGTGAAGAAGTTGAAGCCCCAAATTTCGACCTTATAGCACCCTTATGGCGCCCTTTAAGGAAACCCTCATAGTACCCTCATAGCACTCTTATAGGACACACTTATAGTACCCTTCCAGCACCCCTATNNAAACCTATATAACCCTAAACCCTAAACCCCTAAACCCTAAACCCTTAACCCCTAAACCCCAAACTCCTAAACCCTAAACCCTAAACACTAAAACCCTAAACACTAAAACCCTAAGCCCTAAACCCGAATAGCACCCAGAAAGGCCGATCTAGAGCAGCTGTTCGAAATGATCGACGTGAACGGCGAGGGCGAAATCGCCGCCGCGGAGTTCATCACCCCCTTAACGAGGCGGTTTAGGGTTTCGGGTTAGGGTTTAGGGTTTCAGTGCTTAGAGTTTTGGAGTTTTGGGGTTTATGGACCATCAGTGCTGGGATTCTCTATACACCGGTCTTAAGGATTGTGGCTATCGGGTTTCCAACTTTTGGGCTTCAAATACTGTACAGTAGGGGTTTAGGGTTTAAGGGTTGAGGGTTTAGGCGTTTAGGGTTTAGTAGGGTCATTACATTGGTCAAGACTGAGGCCCGAGCTCCGGAAGTCTACAAATTAGGGTTTAGCGTTTAGGGTTTGGGGTGTAGGGTTTAGGGTGTAGGGTTTAGGGTTTAGGGTGTAGGGTTTAGGGTGTAGGATTCAGGGTGTAGGGTTTAGGGTTTAGGGTGTAGGGTTTAGGGTGTAGGGTTCGGGAGCAAAACGACGAACTCGCAAAGCCTTGGTGTGTTTTTCCCAATGCCTTCTTAAAAACGTCTGAAGCTCGTATCCCACATATACCGTTGATATCAATGGGCCGCTCGAAGACGGTTGAGAATTCACAGGCAGCAACGGTATCTAGAATGCCAAAGACCGCGGATAAGAACAAGGACTATCATGTTCTCCATCGCCACCACCACCACCACCATCATCATCATCACCATCATCATGATCCCAGCATGGCCGTCACCATCTTCATCGTTGGCTGCAGCATCATGATGAGAACTGTTCTGACGACAGCCAGCACAGTCGTAGCCGCGACTTCTGCTCACCATCACCATCACCACCAGCACCAGCACCAGCATCGTAACCGTGGCATGAAGTATGATAGTGTTCTCACAAGAAGCGTCACATTCAGGATTCTATTGTAAGAGCTGTCTACTCTCAGAAAGACACAAATAGGGATCCAATTACCGAGCCACCCAAGAGCACTTCTCTTGTTCTCGACGGTTTTTCAAAAAATCTAAACCCTAAACCCTAAACCCAGGTGGGTGAGCGATTCCAAGACTGCCCCACGCTTTATCAAATACAATATGCTGCGGTCGCTGGGGCAACAGGAGGAGCATTTCCGGGACCTGACTCAGGGTTTAGGGTTTAGGGTTTAGGGTTTCAGACCTTCCAAAAATCCCCTCATCAAGGAGGAATATACCTTAAATGAGATTATGGATCCTGCCCTTAACTAGGGGATGTGGGAACCTACATTGCGGGAAGTCAGGCTCTGCGGTTTGGGTTGACGCTTTGGTGTTCAGGCAGGGTAGCTCACGGTTTAGGGCTTAGGTTTTAGGGTTTTGGGTTTGCTATGCTTGGCTCACATACGTATACCTAACACAACGTAGGTACATTGGACCCTGCGGATGGAGCCGAAAAGTCAAGCCCTACTCTACTTAAGCCGATACAACCCTGATGAAGCCCGTAGGGTTATTATCTACATCCCTACAGCCCTGGAGCCCTACAGCCCTTGAGCCAGCAGCTCTACAGAGCCCTAAGCCGTACTTATAACAGCTAACCCTAAACCCTAAACCCTAAACCTTGAACCCTAAACCCTAAACCCTAAACCCTAAACCCTAACCCTGAACCCTAAACCTTAATTACTTAAGCCAAGAGCCTTGAACAATTGAGGCCCCTTATGCGACAGCTTTTGAAGGCCAGTGAAGCAAGAGTGCCCTCGCTAACAAAGTCTTCTATACGAAATCTGAATGCATATGAACCTGTAACCTGGGTTTAGGGTTTTGGGGTTTGGGGTTAAGGGTTTTGCCTAAACCTCGACACCTTAAAGCCTAAACCCCCAACGAGGGGCTTCTGGCAGCCTTTGCTTTGACTTTGTGCGCAGTCGAAGAAGAGTCCTGAACGGATAAAAGACCCAAACCCTCAACCCTAAACCCTAAACCCAAACCCGCAACCCTAATACCCCGAAACTAAGCCAAAAGCCAAAATCATCAACCCAGAACCCCAAACTGTCAACATCTGTAAGCCCTGACCACCTGAAACCTTATAGGGCCATAGAAGCCCTTGAAGGAAGCCCCAAACCCTCAAGATTAAACCCTAAACCCTAAACCCTAAACAGGAGCTCTATGGCCTCTCACGGCGGTGCTTTGAAGTCCTCGACAGTCGTGTCGAAGCGACCCGACTTTGTAGAAACGCAGAGATCGCGTGTAGGGTTTAGAGTTTCAGAGCGTTCTAGTGGCATCAGCCCTGTGATGGCGTTCATGAAATTTTAGTAAACCCTAAAATAGGTAGTATTATTAGGGGTACCCCTTAAAGGGTACCCCTTCTGAACCCTACTTTTGGCTCTCTAAAAAGGGACCTTATTGAGAGGGTCTATGTTTGTTAAGGGTCTCCCTAATCCTAGCTCGCATAGAACTACCTAAACCCTTTAGGTGGAGGTTTTCGGGTTGTCACATCAATGAGCTTGATTTGTCTGTGGAAGCAGCATCGCACTTATAGGGTTTTAGCTCAGCCCTAAACCAGCAAAGAACCCTAAGACCCCACCGCCCTGAATCGCTTAACCCCCTGAGCCCTTAAGCCCAGGCGATCATGGCAATGCTCATGGAGAACTCTCCGGGTCAAGCCTTCGACATGCCCCACTTAGCCACCCCGGAGGGGCTCCTTGGCAGGTTAGGGTTTAGGTTTTGGGGCTCCTTTCAGGGTTCAGGCTTTAGGGTTTATAGGGGTTTAGGGTTTAGGGGAGTTTTCTGGTTTGCTTTACGGGCTTTTCAGGGTTTTCGGATTCGTCTGAGGGCCGAATTAAGGGATGAGGGTGTCGCGTTGAGGAGTCCGGTGTTCGGACTTAGCATCACCGGCTTTCTTATCATGACAATGTCGGCTTCACAAGCCCTAAAGCTCTAAAGCCCTAAGCCC